GCGACGGCCAGGGCCGCCTGGGCTTTGAGGTGGACGCCGAGGGCTTCATCACACACGTGGAGCGCTTCACTTTCGCCGAGAAGGCCGGGCTGCGGCCCGGGGCACGCCTGCTGCGTGTGTGCGGGCGAACACTGCCCAGCCTTGGCCCTGAGGCCACTGCCCAGCTGCTGCGCACGGCGCCCAAAGTCTGCGTCACCGTCCTGCCCCCTGAAGAGAGCGGTCGGCCCCGCAGGTCAGGGCCCCTGGGACACCGGGAAATGGGAGCGCCCAGCAACTGCCCTTTGATTCCTGGGTTTCCTTCAGTATGCTCCCAAAATTCGCGTGTAGTTGCCTTTTTCTCTTTTCAGAATTCCAGATTTAACCTCTCTGAACTGAACCTTACCATAGAGTAGAACCAGTTCAGAAATTCATCCTTTTTTTTTTTTTTGAGACAGGGTCTCTCTATATGGTTCAGGCTAACCTTGAATTCACTCTGTAGCCCAGGCCAGCCTCAAACTCACAGACATCCTCTTGCCTCAGCCTCTAGAGTTCTGAGTGCTGGGATTACAGGCATGTACCCATGCTAATCCTCACTCTTAAAAAGTATTAATGCACAGCCAACTACTGATTACTTACTGTGCTAAGCCAGATATAGGCAAACTTTGTAAAGGGCCAGACAGTGGATTTTCTTTTTTTTTTGGTACTGGGGATTGAACTCAGGTCCTTGTGCTTGCAAGGCAGGCCACCGAACTGCTGAGCTAAATCCCTGGCCCGAGACAGTGGATATTTTAGGCTATCTTATCTCTTCTGCAGCTACTCAACTCTTGCTGTAAGTGAATTGAATGTGGTTGAGTTCTACTAAAACTTTGTGGACACTGGAATGTTTAAATGTTTGGATTTAATATACATGTTCCTCAGCCAGGTGTGGGAGTGCAGGTTTGTAATCCTAGCATTCTGGGAGGCTGAGGCAGGAGGATCACAAGCTGGAGCCCAGCCTGGGTAATTTATCAACTTAGATCATGTTCCAAAATAAAAGTTAGAAGGACTGGAGATGTAGCTCAGTATGAAGTCCCTAGGTTCAATTTCTGTCTATTATTTAATGACCAAGTTACTAATGATAAGCCCATGTTAAGGTCCAAAAATTTCAAGTCAATCCATGCTGTCTGGATGGACTAATTTTCACTTGTCATGAAATATCTTGAATATTTCTTTTAACTATTTAAACATCTAAAAACCATCTTTGGCTCTCAAGAGTTACAAAAACAGGCATACATGCTAAAAGAAAAGACACAGGCTGGATTTTGTTCCAGGAAGATTCTGAATGCCATGTGACTTATTTCCATGTGTTGTTTAAGCTCTCCCAGCCTGCTATCAGGCCACTTTCCGAGTCATTTGTCCAGAATATACAGGCCTGGAATTTGAACCCAAGTCTGAAAAAAAAATGTCCACTATCCAGGCCCACATTTTTCAGTGCTGTCAGGGAGTCTGGGGAGCTTGCATCCTAGCAGTGCTCCTCTGGCAGCAGCTGGGGGTGGGATTGGTGCTGCAGGACACTGGGCTTTAGGGAGCCCAGTCTGATGCTGCCCCTCCCTTCCACCCAGGAGCTTTTCGGAGCTGTACACGCTGTCTCTGCAGGAGCCCAGCCGGCGGGGGGCCCCCGAGCCAGCGCAGGACGAGACCTTGGAGGTTGTCCTGCAGCCCATCACAAAGCAGCTCCTGCGCCTGTGCCTACAAGATGGTGGCAGCCCTCTGGGGCCCAGAGATCTGGCTGAGGAGAGGACTGAGTTCCTGCACAGCCAGAACTCGCCATCACCTCACAGGTGCACCCTCTGGGTCTTCCTTCCCCAGCCAGCTCAGTGGAGCCTGGATGGGCAGGACCTAGGGAAAGCAGCTTCCGATTCTAAGTCAGCGCTGCTCTCCCCAGCTCCCTGTCAGATGAGGCCCCAGTCTTGCCCAACACCACACCAGACCTCCTCCTGGCCACCACAGCCAAACAGGCAGCACCTGTTGCTGGCAGGGAGACTCCTACCTCCCAGGTGAGCAGAAACAAGTCTCTGGAGCTCAACAGAACAGAGGTGACAGTGGATGTCTTTGCACTGACATTTCATTTCTTCCCCCCAGGAACAGCCAGGTAGCCCCAGTGGGCATGAAGACAGGGACAACCTGGCCCCAGAACTGAAGGCCTCCTTCCTGCCACGAACCCTGTCTCTACGGAACTCCATCAGCAAGAGTGAGTGTGGAGCAAGGGCACTAGAAGGCGGCTCTGGGGCTTCCCCTGCTGAGCCTGGCTTCTGCTGCCCACAGTCATGTTGGAGGCTGGCAGCGAGACGCTGGAGGATGAGTGGCAGTCCATCTCGGAGATCGCTTCCACTTGTAACACCATTCTGGAGTCATTGTCCCGGGAGGGTGAGGCCACCAGGGCCCTGGAGGGAGGAGCTAGAGCTAGGATGGGATTCCTGCTCCCTCTCAGACCCCTCCCTCATCGCCCCTTTGTCCCATAGGCCAGTCCATCCCAGAGAGCGGAGACCCCAAGGGAACTCCAAAGTCTGATGCTGAGTAAGGCTCCCTGCCCCATGTAGCCCCTCTCCACACCTGTGTAACCAACCTTGGTGCCCACCCACTGGAGTTAAGCATCACCCATGCCCTACATCTACAGACACCTGTCTCAGACAACAGGGGCTGGGGCCCTCATTTAGGGATCTTGGGGGGCCAGCCCATGGTGCTGTCCCTACCCTGGTCCCACTGAGTTCTGACACCATGTTCTCAGGCCAGAACCTAGGAGCCTGTCAGAGAAGGTCTCTCACCTGGAAGCCATGCTCAGGAACCTGCAGGAGGACCTGAAGAAGGTGAGGAGGTGGCCTGGGGCCTGTGAGGAGTCCCAGGGATGCTCTAGGAAAGGGGTAGCTGCTGACTGCTGTCCCCCTTCCCAGGAAAAAGCAGACAGGGCAGCCCTGGAGGAGGAGGTACGGAGTCTGCGGCACAACAACCAGCGGCTGCTGGCTGAGTCTGAGAGTGCAGCCTCCCGCCTGCTCCTGGCCTCCAAGCAGCTGGGCTCACCCACCACTGACCTGGCATGAGGCCATCTGGTCCAGCCTCAGCCTGACTATGGACCTGCTTAGAACTGCCTGGGCCTTCAGGGTACCTGGGTCTCACCGGCCCTGGGCCCTCCTCAGGGTATCTCCTTGTGCTGAGGCACATCTTAGCACTGTCCCCACTCCCCAACCCATTTGGTGGCAAAGGTGCCCCCACTTATCACTGTTTGTAAATATTCTGTGGAGAAAATTTTTTCGTTGTTATTTTTTGAGACATGAACTTCTGATCCTCCTGTCTCAGCCTTCTGAGTGCTGGAATTACAGGTGTGTGCCACCACACCCAGCTCAGAACCTATTCTATTTCTTCTATATGTATGTTTAAGACATCTGGGATAGGGTTGTTTTCAGAGGTCACACAAAGCTCCTTGGCTTCTCTCCCACAGACATTCATTTGGTTCTGTTGGGGAGCAGGTGGCCACACTCCACACCTGCTTTGCTCAGGTCCCAGGCCTGAAACCACATCTAAGGGGCTAAGACCAGAGGTAGAAAAATCAAGTGGCTCTGCAGGCCAGGGTAAGGACAGAGCTTAGGGGTCCGGGGAAGCTTGTTTCCTAGGCAGGCCCTACTCTCCTTTCTCTAGTCACTGAGCCATCAAACCTGGCACTCTTTTGGCCACTGGGCCATGTCTTGCAAGGGTGCAACTCCAGGGGTGGTGGTTTCTTGGATCCATGTCTGGAAGACATTGCTCTCAACCCGCTTCGCTGTTCACCAGCTCATGACTCCCTCTGTTCTGCCCAGGCTGGGCATTCCCAAGTGGCATCAACAGGTTCTAACTCGGACTGTATTGAAACCGTTTCTGACCTGAGACCTAGACAGGGCAGTGACTTATCCAGTATCACATGCCTGTCTAGCCCTTCCCGTCTGTTTGATGCTTACTCTGCTGAGACATAGGTCCTAAGTCTGGCAGGATGAGCTGGGCTCTGAGTGACAAGAGGAGTGAAGAAGCTTCATGGAGGGTCACATGAAGGCTAAGTTCTAAAGGTTGGAGAGGAAGGAGCTTACCAGGCAGAGATGCCAAAGGAATCCAGTAGGACCCAGATGGGTGTACTAAAGTGGAGTTGAGCACATATGGGAATCCAGGGTCAGGGAGACTAGAGCTGAGCTGGAAAGAGTTGAGTGGTCCTAGGGACCCTGGGTCAGCAATTCACAGGACTGTGGCCATTTTTCCTGGTTGTGGACTACAGTGAGCAGCCTTCATGGACACTATGGAGGGAAGTCCCTGGTCACTCTGGAGGTGTCTGCAGACAACTGGGACATGGTCATGTGGTTGATAGATTTTAAATAGAGTAACCTATGAGAGTTGGATATCAGAACCCCCTGACTAGGCTGGGGATTTAGTTCAGCAGTTCGGTGGCCTGCCTTGCAAGCACAAGGACCTGAGTTCAATCATGGGTACCAAAAATAAAAAAACAAACAGAACCCCCTGACTACAGTGGGGCCAAGGAGAAAGGAAGCTGTACCAGCAGCCCTAGAATTAGGTAGTGGTGACTTAAACGAGGTGATCATAATAGTGGCAGTCTGAAGTGAGATCTGTCAAGACCTCATAAGGACTGGATGTGAGTTGCTGAAGAAATGGCAGTCACAGTAGTGTCTGGGTTTCTGCCTGGAGTCCCCAGAGGTTGGCAGGGTGATGGCTGACACAGGGAAGAAGGGGAGGGGGCAGGTTAGGAATGGTTGAAGTCACTTGGAACAGGGTTTGAGAGGCCCGAAGGATGTCAGTGTGGAAATTCCCAGTGGGCTGCATGAAGGGGAAAGAGACTTGGGCTGAAAACAAAGACTGAATAGCTGTGAGCATGGTGAGGTCACTCAGGGAGTGTGGGAAGGACTATGAGAGGGTTTCTGGAGGTCACTGCAGGGCACTGGGACAGCTAAGAAGAGCGAGGCACAGTCTAGACTGGAGCATCAGGGCTCACTGCTTCCCTCGACCTGAGCTGAGCGCCTGTGGGAGACTTTGCGGAGTCAGAAGCCTTGGCACCCAGCCAAGCCCCACCTCCGGGCGCTCTGCGACAGGGACAGGTTCGCCGGGGTCCTGACCCCAGGTCCCGGCCATATCCAGCTCAGGTTCTGCCTTCCGTGGGGGCGTTCAATTTAGCCTGCCCCCTGAATGTCCCAGAATTCCTTCAGTCCGCCTCCTCACCCTGACGGTTTTTTTTTTTTCTTTTGGTGGTACTGGGGACCGAACCAAGGATCTTCCGCACTGAACTATACCCCCAGTTTCACCTCCCCGCCCCCCATTTTGAGACAGTCTCATCAAGTGCTAAATTGCCCAAGCTGGGCTGGAATTTGCAATCCTGCTTCAACCTCCCAGATTGCTAGGTTACAGGCGTGAACCACCTTGACCGGCTCATTAGCTCAAATTCGATTTCCCAGACCCTTCCGATTCATCAACTTTCCGCGTCACTATAGTATCTTCTCTCGCATTCACCGTCCATCGGCATCTGTAAGTGAGGACTGTTTCCAAGACATTTGCTAACTTTTGCAGCGCGTTCCAATGTGCTCCTGACATCACCTTGCTGCAAAACTGCAAAGTCCCAAACACAGAAGCCATAGCTCTCAGCCTAGTTAACGGAACTTGTTCCGCCTTTGGCGCTAAAAATGCCTGTGCGCATGCGCACCCAAGCCCTCTACACCCAAGCCCTCCCCGCCGTTCGCTGTTGCGCATGCGCAGACCGAGGCGGAACTACTTCTCTCTCTACCCCATGGTCTGTGGCCTGGCCTTCGTTTAGGCCCCCAGATAGGTTTTGGATTAAGATACTCCTTCCACAACAGGTTATCAAAGCATTGGTGCGGTAGCCATGGCCCTTTCCCAAGCACTGTCCTTTCCCCAAGAGACAAACTTCTTTGGCCACCCATGGGATTAAGCCCAAACAGATTAGCACCTCCTTTACAGCCTGGCCCCAACATAGGTCCACAACCCACCCACAGGGATCTTGCGCTTTCTAGCAGTTGCAGCGCCACTGAGCTAAATCCCTAGCCCCAACATCGGTGTTTCTTACTCAGCAGCTCCCCAAATGCTGGGTGGGCCCTCTGAAATCTATCTGCTAATCTACAGACCTGGAGCTAATAGGGCCTCCAGGAAGACGCTTGAAATCGCTCCATCTCCACAGGCAATGGGCTCTGTTGGGCTTTCTCTGCAGGCATTTCCACCTTAGCTGCCTGTTTACACCTCCTAGATGCTAAGTGGGGTGGTCCAGGGGCGGCTTCACACCACAGGTTCCCAGACAACCATGTTGCACACTCAAATCACAAATGTCCAGCCTGACATGACAACTGTTTGCCAGTGTCTGCTGAAAGCAAGCAAATCTGGCCAAATTGGTAACACATTTATTAGTTCAGAGTGGAAAGAGCAAGAGTCAAACTCCTTTGAAAACTGTGCATCTTGATTGGAAAACCTCTAGCCTGCCCTCTCCCACTCTCCCAACAATTCACTCTATTAAGGCACTTGAGAAGGGGGGGCAGGGAAGTCTCCAGCCAAACACCCTCAGGTTACTGGAGAGGGCCAGTTAGGGTCCGTTTCCTTCAGCCACAGCTGAACAAAGAAAGCTGGTAAAGATCTCTGCAGGGCAGGAAGGCCACAGCCCCTCCAGCACTGGTGTCAGGCAGCACCACGGAGGGACTGGTCATAGGGGCGTGATTTTACATCAAGGTGTATGTGAACCAGTGACATAAGGAAGACACTTGATAGTAAGGCCTTGGCCTCAAAGACCAGGGCTCCAGCCTGCCCCTCTCTCTAGAAGATTGCTAGAAGCTGGAGGATGGGGTTGGGGGCACCCAGAGGTCCCTATAGAGAAGGGAGCTGACCATCAGGATAGGGGAAGAAAGCATCTGAGTGCTCCCAGCTCCACTTCCAAAGAAGTTAATGCTTCACTTAAGCACCTCCAAAGAGAGAGAGAGCAAGAGAGAGACAGAGACACTGCCCATAAAAGAATAAAATATGCTCCCCATAAAGATATCACCCAGGGAAGTTGGGGACAGCTGGAGCACACCCCATAAAATCCATAAGTGCGTTGGGAAGGCTTCAATCCCCTGCAACCTGATGCTCTGGGCAGAGCTGGTGTCACCCACTTAGGAGCTGATCTGACTCAGAAGGGCTGAGAAGTCCATGTCCGCAATGGAGGAGAAGTCTTCATCCCCCGAGAGGCCATTGGGGAGCCCTGAAGCTCCCAGAGAGGTGGGAGCTGGGTCAGGGGGCCTCTGGGACCCTGTCACCAGGCGAGTTATAGCTTCAGGGTACTCCATCAGCATGGGTTCAACTGTGGGGTGGGGCATAGATACACCTTGGTTCAGCAGCTGCTGAAACTCTGAGTTGTCGACGGAGGCCAGGTCTGTGAACACAGCTGGGTCTGTGCTGTTGCCAAGCAAGGCCCCCAGGTCTTCATCAGCATCGAACTGCAGGTGCAGAAGGGCCTCCGACAGTGTGCCTTCCCCAGTCTGAGTGGTCTTTGGGGGAGGTGGGGCCACAGCCTGGGGAAGGCATGGGGCTAGGACCGGGGCTGGGGCCTGAGGCAGAGTTGGTGCCATGGTGGGAGCAGGGACCAGGTTCTGGGACAGGACAGAGACAGGAGCTGGTGTTAAGGCTGAGGCCTGGCTTGGGATCTGCCCAGAAGGTAACACCATGGGGGAAAACTCATCAAAGTTGATGGTGCTGAGGGATGGTGTAAAGGCATAGGGCTGGGGGGCTGGAGGAGAGAAAGAGAGGCAGGAATCAGAGCAAGCCCTAGAGACCCACCCCATCCTCCATATCCCAACTGCTCCCTAGAAGCCACTGTCAACACACAAGCTCCCCTCTTTTCCAATCCAACCTGGTCTGCCCAGTCCAATTCTAGCCTTCCCTCCTTTTTCGAACTCTCTCTGACTCCTGGAACCTGAAAAGCTCTTACTTTACAGATGAAAAAAACAACCTAAAGGGGACAAGCACCCAGTGAGTAGTGGCTCAGACTGGGTACTTGTAACACTTTTTTGAGCCATGCACACTAGCACATACATCATATACTATTTTACTTTATTTTATTTTTTTGGCTTTTTTGAGACAGGGTCTCACTATGTAGTTGAGACTGACCTGGAACTCACTATGTAGCCCAGGCTAGTCTCGAACTCACAGTAATCCTCCTGCCTCAGCCTCCCGAGTGCTGGGATTACAGGGGTGTACCACCACACCCGACCATATACTATTTTAGAGGTGGGTTTTGTTTTGCTTTCCTAATTAACAGG